TTCTCCTGTATTTGTCCATTTTTCTGGACTATTAATAATGATTTTAATTTCAAGCATATAAAGTATAGAGCTTTAAGCAAGGTATATATGTATCTACAAAGTTGCACACTGATATATCCTTGATATATTGTTTTATCAGAATATTTGAAAAGTTATATGTCGCAAAATAATTTAATTTTATCAAATGGACAGGGTTAAAATTTTTTTTTATGAATTCATGGAGAAAATATCATTAGAAAATTAACACTCAAACAGTAAGTTATGTATGGCATTTCATGGGTGTTTGTTGATATTAAAAAGGAGACAATCAGTCCGAATAGGGCCAGAAAAAAAAAAAAAAAAGAAAAAACACTAACGCTATCTAAATTTATTCGGTTCAGCTCAAATTAAATTGTATATTTTTTTTTCCTCACATGATGTTTTTAATTAAAATAAATGGATAAACCTAATAAGAACAAAACTAAATAATAAATTTCGTAAACCATACTTATTCACTTAATATGTAATATACGGAATTAACAAAACAAAACGATAATCTAAGAATATACGTATCTTAAAATCTCAGTCCGTTTTGTCTGGAAGGAATCAATAAAAATTTTTAGGACCTCCAATTACAAATTGAAAAATAAATCAAACTACTATATTCTTATTGATCTATTTAACTCAATCTAATAATAACATTTTAGTACATACTGAATTTTAGCACTATTGTAAATTCTAGGTCCCATAACAAACTTCGCACTTAACTTGCTGACGAGTCCAATCAGCCTTCCCAAATAAGGAAAACCTGCCTCGTAGTTTGAGGCATTGCTACCGCCTTAACAACACTTGTCGTATTTGTGGCAGTGCCCAGCATTATGCCAGAGAGTGCCCGAGGAACCAGAATCAAGGGAGGCCTCCTATCCAGGGCAGAGCATACAACCTTACCCAGCAGGATGCCGACGCTGACCCGGATGTGGTACAATGTATGTATACTATCTGTGACCGTATGGCTCATGTTTTATTTGATACTGGTGCATCGCACTCTTTTGTTTCACATGCTTTTGCTTTTAAAATTAATGTATCACCTAATAAACTTGAATCACTGTTGTTTGTGTCTACTGCCGGGGGTGAAACACTACTAGGGGAGGCTATCTATAGGGCTTGTGCCGTGGAGATAGCAAATAGGAAGCTGAGTGTAGACCTGATAGGGTTAGACACGGGGGATTTTGATGTAATCTTATGAATGGATTGGCTAGCGGCGTATCACGCCACCATAGATTGCTTCAACAAGAAAGTTGTATTTAATCCTCCTAACGAGGAGCCATTTACAAATTAATAAAATTATTCAGCACGTATTCCTTGATGGCAAGTTTTCTTAACTTCTATTGTCTTAATCTTGTTGTTTTCTCTTACTAGGCAAACCCAAGAGGGAAATTTGTACTCAAGATATTCCTGTAGTCCGAGACTTTTTAGATGTGTTTCCGGACGAACTCCCCAGTCTGCCAGTGGACAGAGAAGTCGAGTTCACTATAGATCTACAGCCAGGTACCCAGCCCATTTCGGTTGCTCCTTACCGCATGAGCCGCATTGAGATGGAAGAGCTGAGGAAACAGATCACTGAATTGCAAGACAGCGGTTTTATTAGACATAGTGTGTCCCCTTGGGGTGCCAGAGTCACTTTTGCAAGGAAGGGAGATGGAACGTTGAGACTGTGCATTGATTACAGATGATTGAATAAGGTCAC